ACCAAATGACACAGAAATTAACAACTATAGGTCATCGTACGGCCTTCAACAATGAGTAAAATCCATACCACATAGTCAGCTAATATATTTATTTTTTTACTTCAATTCATTTTTCATCAAGTTTTTAGAAGAAAGGTTACAGTTAAATAATTTTATTCGTTTAATTAAGAAATCAATAAATAGCTTATATATAATCAAGACATTTTTCCACCGTTGTTGAAATTAATTTATCTTTTTGTTCATCATTTCAACGAATATCGTTGTTTAAATTTAAAATATCTACGTACTTTTCCGAATAGAGAGTCATAAATTTAATGAATATTATTGCCGGATACGGTATTAACGGTTAGCTTCAATGCGTTAAGTTATGAACGCGAATGGTTTGACAAATTTAGCTAAATACACATTTTTATGCAAAATTTCATATAAGGGATTTGCTGCACATCTGGGAAATCTGACTTTAAAGAGTACAAATTTTGAAACAACTAAATTTTTATTAATTATCATACAAATATATTCTATTGGATCTACATGTTATCATTCTAAAATATACATTGTTTTGACAGTTTCCGTTAAATATTGCTAACTTTAGAAATATCTGTCCCTCTTTTCTCGGTTGCCGTTAAAGTGTGAAAAAAATATCTTAATAGCTAGCGAGGCATTTAGTCCGATTGATTCAATCCAAAATTATCCTAAAAAGGCGCAATCCCTCTTAAATTGATGAAATCTGGATCGCCTTGAAATAGACGAAATATTTTGGCAAAATTCTTTTAAAAAATGCACCTATTTAACGAAAAGATGACTGGGACAGACTCTAAAGACGAAACGGAAGGCTTAAATTCCTATTTCATTTTCTTGCTACTGATTATAAATTAAGGATGGTCGTGTCATGTTTTGGAAAGTTTGTTAGAATTTCGAAATCCTCTTGTTTTATCCGTTTAAGTGCCATAAAAAATTTTACCCGCTAACTCCCAGTTTTCTTTTCAAAAATCTTTTACATGTACAATATATTATCATTGACACGTTTTAGTTCTCAAAAAGTATTAAAATATAACAAGGATAATAAGACATTTGTAAAAAAGAATAAAATCCTTGTTATATTTTAACACTTTTTGAGAACTAAAACGTGTCAATGAAAAAGATATGAAAAATGAAGAGAGAACATTTTTCCCGCTTAACTATCATTGGCTAATATCTAGAAAACAAACACACGGACCAATATTATTTTTTGTTTTGTTTAATTGCTCCTTTATCAAGCCCCTATCAATAAATAACAGGGTAATGAAAAGCTTGTTATGTTGAAACTGAGAGGCGAACATTCTTTTTTTTTCTGTTTTTTTTTTTGCTTCTATATTTATTGCATGTATATTTATTTAAATAGGCGATAACGGGTGTAGGTATAGGTGATTTCTCAGGCAATGACCAGTGGCAGAACTATAATTTTTGAAAAGGGGGAGGGCGCTACATTTTTTGGTCCTATAAGCAGTTGGATTCGGTGGGTGGTGGGCTCGGACCAAATTTTGCCAAAACTCCCTGTTAATTTAAAAAAAAGTCCATGATATGAGGGGGCGGGCCACCTGGCCCCCTTTCAATACGCCTCTGATGATAGAATTTATTTTTCCTCGTCAGGGACGGAGGAATCACCAAATACCAGTATGTCTTTAAAATGTTATACAGGATAATATACACGACTGTTATGGGAAATGAACGGTAGAAAAATCGAAATTCTCTATAGGATTCTTATCTGCTACATCAATCGTGGGAGACGTCATTGCATTGGTAGCATTAAACTGGCACACGTTTCTTGCTAGAATAGCCTACCGGGATGGTAATTTAGGGGCCATATTCAATTCTTATTCACCAATAATCAATAATCTTAAATACTAAATTATCCTTACACCCGTTATATTTCTTGTCCGGGGGTGCAGTCGGGAGAAACAATGGGAATTGTTATTGTTTCTTCCGGCTTCAATTCTTGGAAACTACCGCAAAACATTTACCAGGATAAAGTATAGACATCCAAAATTAAAAGTAGGATTTTACAGACTGAGAAATCTTTCAAAAAGGGACCTTTATTCTAATGTTTTATCCATATATGCTTTAATTTTATAATTATATCACGGACGACACAAGGTGAACAACATGATACAATTTCTAAACAATATCATGAACTCAAGAAATATCTATCAGTTAATAATTTACATTTCATTAAGACCTATCATTTGTTTTTGGTACTTTTTTGCTTGTTTTTTTTTCTTTTGAAGTTGTTTTTGGTTGTTTTTAGTTTTTTATTTTGCTTTTTCACTGTAAAGTAACGCAGTCGACCTGAGGATTATATGATTGGGTACTAATTTTGCCATGAAATAATTTTATGGGCCGTGATTTCACAAGACATCAATATATGAATGGGGGTGTTTTTGAAATCCCGGCTGCACGTCTATACCAAAAAACTCATGTTGAGACCCCCCGCCCCCTCCCCCCTCGTGAAAATGTTTAACAGTAATACTAAAACCATACTGAGGAATGAAGGTAGGCTACACATAATATGCATATCCACGTATATGTACATATTTTATGAATTTAAAGCGCAGTTATTATATATTTATATATATAAGTAAGCCGCCTTCCAAAACCATATGTATTTAGTATGTATGCAAACTATAGCGACCTATATAATTACCCGGTTGGCGAACGTGAAAAAAAGCATCATTTTTTTCTGCGTTCACATTCTCCGTAAAGAAATGCGGTTGGATTTTTTTTTTAGCATTTACATTCTTTTGATTTCCTTAATTTTCGATTACTGTAAAGGTATATATCATTGGTGCGTTTTGTTTTAATCTGTGTTAAAAAGGCGTTTACCATAACGTAATAGGTGTTTGCACATAACGTAATAGGTGTTTCCAATTAACGTAATAGGTGTTTGCAAATAATATAATAGGTATTTGTACTTAACGTAATAGGTGTTTGCACATAACGTAAAAGGTGTTTGCACATAACGTAAAAGGTGTTTGCACATAACGTTATAGGTTTTTGCACATAATGTCATAAGTATTTGCACATTACGTAATAGGTGTTTGCACATAATGTAATAGGCATTTGCACATAACGTAATAGGTGTTTGCACATAATGTAATACGTGTTTGCACATAACGTACCAGTAGATTCACATGACATATTGAATGTTACCAGAAAGTATCAATTGTTTGGCAAAACGCATATAAGCTATACCATGATATATCATATTTTTCACAGAAGATACATATGTATAGACACAACATAAAGCCATTAAAATATAATATCATGAGGTTTTTATGGAACAAAGATGTGACAAAAGAAAACGTTAAGAACATTCAACATAACATAGAGGAAATGTGAAAGAACGTTAATGTGGTTGATCATAAAGTTTAGAGGTAAACACAGAATATACAGTAATTACAACATAATGTAATGCATATTGCACACAACAAAGAATAACAATGACATATCATACAATAGTTTGACAAAACAAATAATTAATTTGACATAACACAGAGATGCAGTGTCATGAAATAAAGGCACTTACACATAACATAAAGAAGATATGACAGGACGTAAATACAAAGCAACAAAAACACCTTTAATACTTACACTATAAGACAGTTACGGCGTTCCATATTATTGCATTTTCAGTTTAAATATATTGATTTATACTATATCTAAGGTTGAACCTCCATAAGGCAAAGGTGACCATAAATGGTTTCGGCTGTTCTGTTTATGCCATTTTTTACTTGTTTTATATATTTCGGCGATTTACATTTGCTCGAATTAGTCTTTTATTTGCACTACAAAAGTCTTTTGATTGCGCCACACACAGTATATTATTTGCGCAAATTTCAAATCTGTACGGGCATCAACAATTAGCAAAACCCTTACCGTTATATTAAGATATAAAAAGCCACGACATAAAAAAGGAAACGAGAAAACCAATGGTATGATATATGTAGAAAACAATAGATGAAAAACAAAAATGATACACAGTAAACAACGACAATCACTGATTTACAGGCTCCTGACCTGGACAGGCACATTTATACTGTGGTGGAGTTAAAATTTACTTGTATTAATCTCTTCCATTCGCCTGCATTACATGTTATACTCCTCGGCAACGAGAGAATATAAAGTATAAGGATATTGAGGAGGGTAAGTGCCTTTTATAATAAGTTTTGATAATAAGGTTAAACACAATAAATATCTAGTACTTGACAAATGGTTGAAGACATATTTCCCTCCACACTCCCGTTTTCACATCAGATTAAAATCATTACAAGCACAAACTCCTTGGCAAATTGACGAGTACTAAATGCGAAGCAAAAAGTTCAATCATGCTGTTCAGCAACTGCTATCATTATCACGGTGTATATTCATAACGCTTCCTTTCCGATAATATCGGCGTTCTTGACTCCTTTCCGAATCAGTGAACGCTTCCTTTCAGCGTTTTATTTACAACGATGCTGCAGATACTCGCATTTCTGTTTGTGTTACATTGTCGATATGACGAAATCAGGTAATGCGCGATATTACCGGCCGCTAGGACACAGGGGGCTTCACTGTATGCATTTTATTTTTATAACAGTCCAAATAACTTGACCATCTAAAAGGTAACGAATTTAGTTCGGTAAAAAAATTCTTGTTTAGTTGTAAGTTCGCAAGAAAAGATGATTTAGAAGATAAATTACAACTTGGAAGGATATGTATCCATAGGACACCGGACCCCGCTCGAACTAAACTACCGTAGATGGGCCGTAAATAGAAATGTCAGATAATTGTTTTAATACAAACAAAATCTTGACAACAGATGACCGTAAGTAATGGCAAATCTCTAAAATCATATTTTCATATCTTCAGCTTCTGAGCAGCTAGTAATTTATCTTTAAAATGGTTAATCAAGCTTATCAAATGTGAAAAAGTTCACAACCAACACACAGAACGTCTTATAGGTAAATAACTGATACAACACTTACGCTGTGAAAGACCAAATCTACAGCTGATGAGCAGAATTAAGCCAATGCAATACATTATATTCTGGTGCTGCTATTTATAACGGCCTGTAAAGTTACATGTATATATAATAAATTTTTAAACTATTGAAAGATAGTTATCCATAGGAATAAAAGGATGCGTAGGGCATAAACCAATGCGAAAGATTTCAGGCTATACTTGTTATTCTAAAAAAATAATAGAAAAGGCATATTCAGAATTAAAACCAATTGCTCCCTTATTCAATCTAATCAAAATTAGTTCTCCGCACTGGCTCCTCATGTTCGTTCATATATTTTCGACATATAAACAACCGAACGAAAATGAGGAGCAAGTGCGGAGAACTAATTTCAATTAGATTGTCTTTAATTATCCTTTTAATTTGCTTACAACTTTAAGACTATGTGAAAGCAAAAGGTAGTTACAGGTCTGATAACTTGGAGGTTACCACCACTCTAGTAACACACGGGTACCATCCGACCGATAGTCCTATACTAATTGATTCAAATGATACATTTTCAGTTACAAAATAATTTTTTGATTATAATAAAACAGAGATTACAACTCCATTAGCCAACGATAATCTCAGAAGGGATTGGCTATTTTTGTTCAGTCATATTGGTTTTATTGTTCATTAAAGTTTTATATTTGGCTTTCCTTGGCTTATAGCCGCGGGCGTACCTGATTAAGCTTTTAAAGAAAATTGTGTCGTGCGCAGAAATTCGTGATGGGCATCAGATGTTTTTCCCGATACTTTCAAGTATTTAGTTTCGTTAGATGATTTGTTTTTGCTAATTTTTCAAATACATTGTTCGAAACTAAAAAGTTTATGGGACAATTTGTGTGTCTTTCTTAGAATGTGCTATTATTCGACAAGAGTTCTTACGGAATGGATGAACTGTGTATATTCAAATTGATGATAGATATTCACAAGTCGATTTTCCAATCATATAAATGCATGAAAGGTACTTTAATATATATACAATCTGTATAATCAGCTTTGAAAATAAATACAATATAAAGTTAAGTTTATGTAAAACCAATATCAATAAGAAATAATTGAATAACACTTCGGTTAAATTGACAAATGTTACAACATTAATGTAGGTATTATAAAGCGTTGCAACATGACATAATTAAGATATATAGAACAACAATACAATTATGGAAAATACAAACCTATAGTTACACGTATATGAAAATGTGGGTTAGATTAAAAATTGCGACAACAACCCAACAACACAAAACAAAATAATAACAGAACTATTAAATTCCGCCGTAGTGAAAATTTCTAGTGATGCAATTATACAAGCCGTACCACATAATTCATAAATTAGAAAAGGATTTTTTATAGCCCAAAAAGGATTTTGATGAATAAATAAGCGGTTTTGCTAGTAAATTTAATTTTAGCTACTAGCAATACAGGTTTAGAATGTTATTTCTTGTCAATCCAAATGAACTATAGATAATTAATGACAGAGTCGAAACAGACAAAGTCTGGTTCATACTTTAACTGGAAATTTATTTTGTCAAAAAATATCTATTTACATCTTTTTTTTTCAAAGCCAACAATCAAATGTATTTTTCAACAGTAGTACAAGATGGTTGTACTACAAAGTTCAATAAAGATGACTTTAACTTTTTATCAAAGATTGTTAAATCTTGTAGGAAATGTGATTACCTACGCATCTCCAGGCTACTGTATAGCCTTTAACAATCAACAAAGACCAAAACCGTTAAATATTCTATCACAAATCTTCGGTAAACACGAGTAAAAACTAAGCTTAGTATAGACAACAAAATATCTAGATGACAAGAAAGGGAAATTAAACATTTAGTCCAAAAATATATAACTAATATTCTAACTGTCAAAACATCATCACTGATGTGATATACAAAATAAATTAAAATCTAGCTTAAAATTCATCCGATTTTATTAATACGTTCTAGGCTCTGGCAGAATAACTATTAAGCGTCACTGGCTGTTTTGTAATTAAATGTATTTTTAACGCTGCAATTACCTGTTCTATGATATATTCTTAATTTCAGGTTCGAAACCTTGTTACTGTTAAGGTGTCAGACCACCAATTCACCCGCTTCAATGTACTTTCAAAGTCAAAATTTACTTGTCCATGAGTTGCATTAAAAATTGGGGATTGATGCGCTCCATATAAAAATAAGATGTGGTATAATTGCCAACGAGACAACTCTCCACAAGAGACCAAATGACACAGAAATTAACAACTATAGGTCACCGTACGGTCTTCAACAATGAGCAAAACCCATTCCGCATAGTCATCTATAAAAGGCCCCGAAATGACAAATGTAAAACAATTCAAACGAGAAACCTAACGGCCTAATTTGTGTACAAAATAATGAACGAAAAACAAATATGATACACAGAAACAAACGACAACCACTGAATTACAGGCTCCTGACTTGGAACAGGCACATACAGAATGTGGCGGGGTTAAACATGTTAGCGGGCGTCCAACCCTCCATAACCTCGGTCAGTGGTATTACAGTACAACATAAGAACAAACTATAAAAATCAGTTGAAAAGGCTTAACTCATCAGATGGGTTCATATTATACTTATTTAAGATTTACAGAAAACCAAGGGTTATCTTTAGTAGTACTTGACTTTCGAACGGTAGTATTTCATCACATGACTTTAAACCTGGGTTAAAAATTGGCATGTAGAAAGGTGATACATGTACAATTCAGGATATACCTGGTTTCTATGAAGTTAAACTTGAGGTAGAATATTAAGAAAAGTGTGAAAATTGCTAAATTTGGTTGAATAGATAGGGATTTTGAATTGGTGGTCTGACACCTTAATAAAGAAAACTGTATCTCCGCCGTTTTTCATATTTATTATAGGAATCTCATATTTTTTTAGGTGCAACATACAATTGTACTAAAATGTTTCATTCCGTACTTGTTTTTGCCATGAGTAACGATATTTTTTACAACAATTATCATTTAATAGCATGTGTAGAGTGAAATACAGATTAAACATTAATATTTACATTTACAACAGCCTACCTCAGAAAGACGCTGTTCCCTGCAACTGTTTTACATAAATCTCAGAGTTGTGTAAACATTCGTTTAAATTTCTCCCATTGTAATTCCTAATTGTTATACAAGCGAACAGGTCTAGCTTTGCATGAATCTGATTAAGTATTTACATCTGTCGTTTACGTAAAAAATTAACATTTTTATAAATATATATTTTATCAATAATATATTTTTTCTGACAGAAGCTTATAAGTAGTTGCATTCGTAATGCGGAAGTTCAGAATATAACTTAATCTTATTAGATATAATGTAAAGACATTTATGCAGTAAACGATAGATGAATATTTTGGTCATATAGTTCTTCAACTGTTTCAGTTCTTATACATCCTCGGCTTTCAATTATTCGGCATTGAGCGTTCCTGATGAAGGTAAATCCAGAAAAGCTCTTCGAACACATGCAATTTGTAAAGCGTTGTTTTCAATTTTATATTTGGTCTGAAATTTGATAAATAAGTACACAAATCATAGATGCTGAGGTTAGTTGAACATTGTAAATGCAGCAGCTATGATTTGTTTCCAGTTCATTTAAGTTTGCGATAGTTAAAAACTACAAACTCCCCAAAGAAAAGTTAATCATGGAAGGTTATGAATATTTTGTGTAGGCTTTTTTTTGTATTTAAGCTCTCAAAAACTTTTGGTTTTCAAACATTTGATATCGAGCGTACCAAATGAAGGTTAATCTCGATTAAACATTCAATGAAATAATGCAATTATTCATAACCGTTGTTACAGCGCAGTTCAGTAGCTCAAGATAGTAAATGTGCAGCCCGATCGATCTTTATTCGTCATCCCTTATACTATATCAATAAAAATGCATCTAAAATAATCTGCAATAAGACTAAAATAAAAAATATATTTCACCAACATCTGAAACTTGTGTATGTCGACAACCGAAAGTTTCGATCGTAACTTGTGTAATCGTGTATATATTTGAATCATACTAAGTCTTATATTTTTCTTACTAAGTATTATGTATTTTTCAAGATATGCTAACTTAACTGAACAGAGATATGCAAATATTTACACACATATTGTGCACTTGCAGTATATTGAATGATGTTGCAATGGAGTATTTAACGGTCTATGAACTTAAGTACTATCAATAACCAATGATATTATAAGAACAAAAGAAGAAAGAGTCAAAGATTAAAAAAGGATTTGCCTAGAATGTTTCGGACCAAGTCTCTTATAATATCGACTTTGTTGTTTTCATTTTTCACTTGACACAGGACCAGTCGAACCTTTGTGAGTAGATTTGTTTACTGACTTAAAATATTTTTACCAACAACTTTTAATTAAGAAGTAGCAACCGTTTATTTTTAATCATTCAATTAATGACAATTCATCTGGTGAACAGTATGCATTTTTTTATTCGATTAAAAAAAAAAAAAAAAAAAAAGCGAAAGATACAATGGGAACATTCAAAACTTACAAGTCCAAGAAATACTGACAGCGCCATGAAAAAAACCCTCAAAAAACAAAGAAAAGACAAGCAAATACACAAAACCAGGTTTAACCCACCATTTTCTACATGAGGAAATAATTGTACCAAGTCAGAAATATGACAGTTGTTTTCCATTCGTTTGATGTGTTTGAGTTTTTGATTTTGCCATTTGATCAGGGACTTTCCGTTTTGAATTTTACTTTGAGTTTGATTTTTTTTATACTATTTACATAGAAACTAAAGACTGAGCAACACGAAATCCACTAAAAGTTGACTAGATTACAGGTGCTCCATAAGGATTAGCAGATTCTGCTCTACATGCAGCACCCGTCTTGTTGGTCACGGTAAGTACACATTAGATTACAAGTCTCATTCGATGTTTTCAGGCTGCTGGATGACTATGAAGTATAGTTTTGACTACTTTCTTATCAATTTTAGCTTTATTCAAAAATATGATTTTCTTTTTTATTCTTATTTTCTATAAGATATGGTATTGGCCACTGGTTAATGATATGATATATATTGTATTTTCAGTTTTTATATCATGTGGATTAGGAATATTTATTCCGATTAACACAGACACAGGAAAGTGTGTTTTCCTTCCAGATATATCCCCTTTTTTTGAAAAATAACATAAACCCTCTAGGTCATCACTGGGCAAATTGAGCAACACATCTGCTAATGTAGGTTCGGTTTTTTGCTCCGTATACTGGTCTATAAATATTACATCTAAAATTTGCATGTAAGAGACGAGGACACATTCCTCTGCATGGTATAGCAACTCATCTGAAAGCATTAAAATATGATTGCTAAATTCAAAACTTTTAGACAACAAAGAGCAAAAACCGTATAAGCTGATTATATGGCATATGAGTTGATTGCTCAATGATTTTATAAATGCAAACTTAAAAACCAACACTAGCAAACCAATTTTGATCTTAAACGGTTATTTCAATTTAAATACCTCTTAAAAAGTAAAATAACAAAAATACCGAACTCCAAGGAAAATTCAAAACGGAAAACAAATCAAACGAATGGAAAACAACTGTCATATTCCTGACTTGGACTGAAAAATATATTATCAAGTTATTTCCAGTCAATTATCAGACTTATCCACTTCGGTACATTCAGTATTTTTGAGACAATCGATAGCAGTCAATTAAGATTTGTCCAGTCAATGCTCAGACGTTTCAGTTGTTGCAATTACCTATACTGTACACATCAACACTATACTGAATTGTCTGAAAAGCTATACTTAACAATACTGAATTGACTGCAAGCAATTGTCTGAACAGTACTGAATTTATCGCAGTAGATAATAAAATTAGGAATGGAAATGGGGAATGTGTCAAGTGATAACAACCCGACCAAAGAGCAGAAAATGCTACACCCGGAGGCTGGCTGAAGCTGGCTCCTAAACAAAAATGTGTACTAGTTCAGTGAAAATGGACGTCACACTAAACTCCAAAACATATAAATGAACTTAAATAAAAAAAAAACATAAAAGACTAACAGAGGCCAGAGGCTCCTTACTTGGGACAGGTGTGAGAATTGCCTTAAAGACTGAACATGACTGAATAATTAACTGTTTTGACTTTTCAGGTGATGCTAAGATAAAAAAAACCTAACCAAAGATACCAGGCTGTTAATTATGTACTCCGGACGCACGTTTCGTCTACAAAAGACTCATCAGTGACGCTCGAATCAATAAAGTTAAAAGGCCAAATAAAGTACGAAGTTTAAGAGCATTGCGGTTATGCATTTTGATAGTCCCTTGGTATCTTTTTATTTTTCTGATAAAATTTACACCCAGCAATTGAAATATACTATTCGGATATATCATATAAATAGTTGTACACATTTCAATGACTGCTTGAATTCAGAATAAAAAAAACATCAACAGAAAATGTACAGTACATTAAAATTCTGGCAAAATAAACAGACCTGTGTACCCACTGTATTTAAAAATATAAAACTCCACCATTACACAGAAAAATATTAGCAACGACCGATCGGTTAAAATCTTTGAAGTTATGAAGCCTCTTAAGTAGAATTTATATCTTAATAATTATCTATCTTTTTTTGGGTTAAAATAACAAGCAGTTCGCATAAAGGCACTACTCTATTCTTTAATATTGATATTTATCATTGTTTTGGAATTAAAGAAGTTGTATAAGTTGGACTCCCATAATTAAATCATTTGGATCTCCTTTTTTACTTTAATATATGGTTTCACAATGCATTCTTAACAGGTACAATTTTTGCCCCAATATATCTGTAGTGTTGTAATGCAATATTTTTTCTCTTTTCATAGGAGTCGCTATACAATTCAGACGATAATGTCCTGGTACATACGTCAAGCTTGTGGGTTTATCAGAAATAACAGACCAGTATGTGGTTTGAATGGCCAAATATACATCAAAATATTTTGCACTCGATGTGCTGAAATGAACTATAGCTTTTCCTTTCATATTAAAAGCATGTCACCTTTTCATACATTCATAAATATCCACAAATGGTGGAAAGTCTATGTCACTATTGTGTATTTGTCCACATTCACAGTATTAACAGTTCAACGCCGTCACAATTGTCAATATAGACCACATAACATGAATAAGTGAAAGAATAAAAAAAAAGCGTGCGGAAAATTTATAAAGACGTAAAGAAACAGATGCTTAGCAAGATGTGTGTAAGTGGATCAAATATTCTCAGATCATGCATTAATGCTAGATTATTGATATCTCCAACTGTTTCATCTACTGGTCTTGTGTAGATATCAAATTAACAGACTAACATCCCAAGCAACATAGCTGGTGCAATATATAGGACTGGAACTGCTCACCTTTCTGAAGCCGTTGATTGCCTCCTGATTTTAGTGGGGTTTATATGTTAACTTTTCAATTCTATGTTTCAAAAACCATTGATTATATTTGATTTTCTTCAAGAGGTTCAATGGAAACCGATGCCATTGAACATAGCGTTGTCTGTCTGTTGATTAAGGTTTCCGAATTATTCGCCATATCTGAAACCATCTGATTGTTCACCTTCAAGAGATCATATTGCGCTTGAAAATGTTATTTCATAAATGAAACAAAGTTTTTGCATCAGTCCTTTTCTCAATCAAATGATACTGTTTATGAAAGTGTTCATGCTTCATACACAAAACTACTAGAATAAAGTCACAAAGAACGAAATATAAGCTTTGCGGTCACCATCACGAATTGGTTGATCGATACGATGTGTCTATGTTTCAACTCATGACGTTTTTCGTGGTCTTAGATTTTAAGGTACCATAAAAGCAGTCTGATTAGTAATTTTACCGTGATAATTTGACTGAGTGAGGATTTTCATGTCAAGTGATGCATGCATAGCAGGAGATAATTACCCTGTCGACACACCGGGTCTCGCCCCTTTGGAGTTTATATGATTTCCTTATTAGTATTCGTTTGCTACCTTTTCTTGTATCGATTTAATCGATTTATAAGATTCGAACTGTTGACTAACTGTATGCGATATGAAGCCAAAGCTACCCTCTTTATTAGTGATAGTATTTATTTCTTTATACATTTAAAAATTTAGTCGTTTTCATTTTCTTAATTGAAACTTTGTTATTTGATATTAATACTCATTGTTCCACCCAATCGTCATTTTCGAAATGAAATGTTCAAGTTTGGATTGTTATACACTATGCACATTTTCGATTTCCTTTTGATATGTCTATCTTATATTCTTACATTAACGTTTTAACCATGTTTTTCTAATTTTGATACCATGATTTCAAATTACAATTTCATTGTAATATTCCTTTAATGAGGGCGGAAGGACCTTTTTCGGGACGTGGGGATTGAGCCGTTTAATTCGCGGGAATTGGGAATAATCTTCGGGATTTCGGGATATAGTTATATCGTGATGCGGGAACGGACACATTATTTTAGCTGGAATTCGGTATTAAATTTTTCGGGATTGATTTTTTTCACACCATTACCACTTAAAGCAAAAATTACTTTCAAAACCACAATAATGTTGAGATATCGGTACAATCTTCAGAGAAATTGTAACATAATTACGTCATGGGCAACATATTACTACACTTAATTCAGAGTCGTCTTATTATACGGTCCCTGTGTGGGGTCAAGGTCTTTAGACATGGTTCCTTCTTTACCATAGCCAAATTTAAAGGGGTATCTGTCGGGAAGGAAGCAATACGGATTTGATATGAGTGGAAGAACACGTTTTGAAAATGTGTTCGTTTGCGTACTGTTTGTCAGGAAATGCAGCATATAAGTGTGGTACACCTCCACTTAATATGTACCAAGAGTCGGTCTGCAAAGCTGCAAAGTGATATTTGATCAAATATAGGGCGATGATGATGAAATGAAAGCGAGTCTGAAAACGAGACAGACGAGGAGATCTTATCAAGTACCTGTACCAAGTCAAGCATATGCTTATTGTTTCCCTTTTGTTCTGTTTGTTGATATGGTCAAGCGTTAGATTTTGTTCAAAGGAAAGTATTTCTATTCTTAGCAAAATGAATAATACGTATCACATACTGAATGAAGTTAAGTGCATATATAAGACAGCCCAGCTCTCGGTTCTGATACGATTGCAATGATGCATTCTCATAAATTTTAATTTATGAAATTTTGTAATTTTTCTAAATCTAGGACTGCAGTTCATTTGGTAGTATCGTCTATTTTGGATGACGACCCTACAATATCTACGGAAACAATATATATATATATATATATAAAAAAAAAAAAAAAGCCAACAAAACAAAAAATTAAAATATAACTTGGAACAGTTATGCTGACATAAAAAGAAATTAACGGACTTATTCTGTAGTTTATGAAAGGAATCGTTATTTTTTTTTAATAAGAAAAGTTTTTTTTTTCAGGAATACCATAGCTAAGTGTAACAAATGTTGTCCTTGTAAGTCAATGTGTTCAAAATTAAATAAGACTGTTTGTGGACTAGATAGAAAAATCTTCTTTTATCAACGTTTCGTGAGATGTTCGTAAGTTTATCGAATTCTCCAAATGTAATGCAAATGTTTTTGAAATCTTAATTGCGTCTATTTTTCTGTGTTCACATTGACAAAGTTTCACTGCTTTTGTATGGCAATACGAATCGCTGTACTATCTTGTCTTTTTCTGGTTAAATTGCAAACATCGGAATATTTTGTTGATAAATGATAAATTTCTATGTAAATTACAAAATACAACTCAACAACCCAAAATAAAAAAAAATTATGTATATTGATGTAACATTACAACTTTCAATGAAAGATAAGTGTCATAAGATAAGTTTGCACAAGTTTCCCCTCTAAAATCACAATAACTTGAAAATTTAGTAGTACTAGTTGCAAAAAGGGTCAAAAATAGAAACCAAAATTGAAAATATTTTATGCAACAAGACAAATCAATAAAAAATATGTTTTTTTTTAATATACAAATCCGAGAAAAAAAGGTAAAGATATGATCCAAGAACCCCTCCCCTGTGGAACCAAACACTATTTTTAATCCATGTCACACAAAATAATAATTGGCACGTAGTATTGTTTCTTGTGTATTGTTTATTTTACCGATTGATAATGTTTTTTTCATTTGTGTAATTACCAATATCAACCTCTTGATCATCTTTTGTTAGATTAGAATTTGGCATTTCTTTTAGAAAAAGATGTTTTCTACTTAAAAAAGTAAAGATTAAACCAAAAACAATGATGAATGGTATTATACCAACATATAATCATTTACAGCCTGCTTAATATTTGAATAAGCACTATAATGATGAAAAATACTTCAAGCCTATTTCGACTCTGCCATCTGGACATAATAGTAACATACGTTACTATTGTTACAAGATGACAGTCGCCGAAAACCAACATACTGTTTACACCATACACCCATTCATGTTCCATCATGTTCGTTATAATTTTTACAAAGATACACAAAATTTTTATTTAAATTAATTTGAAATCAGATAAGCTAAAAGGGGTCCTCGGTGGCCGAGTGGTCTAAGTAGTTACTACTGTAATCACTAGCCAGTCAACACTGAGGTTGTGAGTTGGAACCCCGCTTGTGGTGTACTTGACTGCAATCTTAATTGACTAGGATTGTCAGTTTTCCTATCGAAGGTCTGTGGTTTTCTCCGGGCACTCCGTCTTCCTCCACCAGTAAAAACTGGCCAACACGAAATAGCCCACAAGCGGTGCCTAAAAGTTGCGTTAAAACACCAAAAATCAATCAACAATCAAATCAATTAGCTAAAAGTATTAATTAATAGTAGTCGACAAAAGATATTGAAATAAAGCTTAAATGACTTCTTTGAAAAAGAACGAAGATTATTGTAAAGTATATTGCAGATGATGATAACTCAAGATTTAAAACCTGGTAGCTGTTATTAGTTTCCCGTTTTAAAGTCATATATAAAGTCATCATATATACCAGTTTTAAAAATGTTTTACGCTAGTCGCTCGTTTCAGTCGTTCAGTGACACAAGAATAAACAATGCTAAAAGTTTTGCGAAAAAGTATGAGTACTTTCTACAAAAAAATCAGTGAATTAGCAAACGAAAGGGAAATAATACGAGTGAGGGAAAGCAAAGCAATAGCGGGTCCAGAGGTGATTGGGTTCTGGAGGCTATTACTATTCCTCTGATCTAATATGTTTATTTTGTTGGTCAGAAGTCTTTCAGATATTTTTTTATTTCACTTTCTATAACTGTTCTCGATATTTGTTTGGATTATTCATTGTCAATATTAGTTGTGTTACATTTGCTGTAATGATAAGTAATGCTTACCCTCCCGGTACATAAAATTCCATTAATTCGGTATTTGGTTACTCTATTTCAAAATTTTAGATATATTGTGTTTCATGTCTGTCTGTATTTTCTATATTTCTCGCATTGGTTATGTTTTGTAAACTGTTTACTTATTTATATTACAACTTCTTGATATTCTGCTGTTAGACAAGATTGCTATATGGTCCATTGTACGACATATGTAGTAAATATCATATTCCTCGACGCAATATGGACCATTAAACGTGTTAGATGAATGATTACTTTTGACAAAAAACACACGAGAGTCGAGAGACGATAAACATTTGAAAGGGGTCGTCTCAAAAGACGTACTGATTGTTTCTATCATAACATAATGCATTATGTAAAGTTAAATGAAACATGATGAAGTAAAGATTTTATTTTTATCAGTCTATTAAATTGTTCCCTCTTTCTACCAAACCAGCGCAAAGACTAACAATCTGATTTATTTTCCAGCGCGGAAGACGCCACATTGTACCAGGTGGCAACATTTAAGTCTACGAATAGAATGTTCGACATTAACTCTATGAAACCAAGTTGGTCCTTGTCCTATTTCTGGCATCGAGTTGAATTGTTGTGCATCATTTTGGTGGCCCAGGAAACCGCTGCGTACAAGTCGTATGTGGTTATGGTTGTCAATCAAAACCTGGGTGTGAAGACAGTGCATATGTATGTGTACGGAATAAAACTGTTCCTGTGGCTCATTTTGAGGAGATAAATTGCATGAGATGTATCGTCTACTGCCGCCACTGCGTTTGGTAGTCCTGGCCATCAGCCTTGCAAGACACACACTCGATATGCGACGGCCAATCCAATGGAGAAAATATCTCCCACAACAACGGTACAAGACCATCAATTGTATGTAACATAGTGAATGAAGAAACATCAAACAACGAAGACAAAATCGAATAACACGAATAAAATTATGTTCTTAGCCACAGGATTACCATCAAAAGGCGATTTCTGGGAGACCAGTTGCATATGACCGGTTCATAAAGAAGCAAGTGCCAAAAATTTTAAAGACTTTTGGTATTGCCTCAAAATCTGATTCTGATTTTAATTAGAATAAACAGAAAATCCTAATATATGACTCATTTTTTTGTTGATATATCGCTATGTCATAAAAAACTATAAATATAATACAGACGTTCTAATTCATGAAATGTAGTTTGAGTCTGTTCTTCTGAAATGCAAAACATTATCGTCGAGTGAGGTAGCATTGGCGGATCCAAGGTAGTGTTCCGGGGGTTGGAACCTTCATTTGTCTTCCGATTTGTTTTGTAATTATGTGAACGTTTCATAGTGTTCCGGGTATTGGACCCCCTTTCAAAATGGCTAGATCATCATTCAATTGAAAACGTGTCGATAAAATCATTGTTACGTTCATCATTAGTTTCTCTGTACGTAACTTTACGGTACCATCATCATTTGTCAAAGTCATTTTCATTATTACAATTTCAAAAAGCCGTTCTGCTGCTTAACAATGTGACTCTTAGACCTTAAACAATAATGATTGGTATTATAACAACATAGAATTAACTCTAGCATGCCAGAGTTTGACTGGACACTATTTTAAAAGCTATATAACAAGAAAGAAAAATTTCAAGCCTATAAATTCGTTAAAAATATGAAGAAAAAAAAAAGAAACGAAAACAAAGACCATTGACATAAACTCGCTTTATTATTGACAAATTTTTGCATCTATTGATCTATCTTATATACAATAAATTATTCTTACTAGTTTTTATTTTAAATAAACATATGTAGACCATTTATGGTTAAATCTGCATATAAAAATGGTTTACGTTTAGATCGGCTTTATAAATCAATCAATCAATACAGGAAGTATTTGAACGATTTTGTGTACCATAGCTTTGCATATATAAAACAAAACTTTTCCAACTTTAGCAGGTAAGAAAGTTAAAATTATGTCTACTCCATAGATTGGGTTATGGTTTTGTACTCATCAATTACACTTTAACTATCGATGCAATCCAATAAACTACCATTTTTGCAATATATATATAAAATTGTTCGGCAAATAGCTCACACCACTCTGCAGGTTCAGAACGACCACTAACACCGATTTCAACAGTAGGTATCTTAAGTATTGGAAGTATTTCAATATATATATGTTAAGCCCATCTGATTTTTGTTCGGTGAATGATCTTTTATCAAATCAATAATTGCAGAAAGTTGGAGATTAAATATTTAAATATTTTAGAAAGGGGATAGGAGGGGCAAATATAATTTCAGTGTCTAGATGACAAAATCCAACGGTGAATATTGTTGTATGTATTAACAAAGTTAGATTAGATTTTGGATTAAAATCAATCGACCAAAACTTACCTGTATTATTACTGATCTATGTTTACACCTTATACATTATATATCAGTATTGTTAAAACTTTTAACACTGAGGAAGGCCATTTGTTGAGCCGAAATATTTGCAATTATTGTATAGTTTATATCATCTGTTCAGTTTTTCCATCTTTGTGCGATGATATTCAACACTTTTTAGTGTTTTGTTTTCCATCTATTTATCGGTATTGTTACACAATCTTTTAGACTCATATATATATTATACTGTTTGCAAAATTATAAATTATTCTAAATAATAAGGATGTTCTTGTCCCAGGCAGAAAACCCTGGCCGTGTTAGGCGCAACTTTTTGGAAGTTTTGGTCATCGGTGCTCTTCGGCTTTGTACTTGTTTTGGCTTTCAAGCTTTTTTCATCTGAGCGTCACTGGATAGTCTTGTGTGGACGAGACGCACGTCTGGCGTATTGAATTTTAAGCCTAGTACCTTTTGTTAGCTATTATTCGTGTGTTTCTTTGTCCTATATGTTCTCCCATTTATTTGTATTGTGGTCCTGTGATGTGATGTTGGCGTTTTGGTGTTGTGTTTCACGTTGCCATTAAAGCGGGAGGTTTGGCATGCCACAAAACCAGGTTCAACCCACCATTTTTTTCTTAAAATGTCCTGTACCAAGTCAGGAAAATGGCCATTGTTATATTATACTTCGTTTCTGTGTGTGTTACATTTTAATGTTGTGTTTTTGTTGTGTCGTTGTTCTCCTCTTATATTTGATGCGTTTCCCTCAGTTTTAGTTTGTAACCCGGATTTGTTTTTATCTCTATCGATTTATGAGTTTCGAACAGCGGTATACTACTGTTGCCTTTATTTATATACAAGTCTAAATTGAAAACAACGTTCAAACCTATGATTGCGTTGGATAAAAACCGCAATTTTTATACGTGTGCATGCAAAACAAATTTCTTGTTAGAGGGGTCTAAATACAGCACAAACAACAATTTCCAAAAGACCAAAAAAAGTGAAAAAGTATATTTTAACAAAACGCATTTGACGCATATATATATATATATATATATTATAATCAAAAGACATAAGTTGTTGAACTTTGTCCCAAATTAAATTGGAAATTACAAACAAAGAGAATAAGCCGGCTGAAGTTGCGTTACCTAAAACTTATCGAAACATGGCACGTCGACAGGAATTTTCAGGACAAATGACTATTTGGAACGAATACGACAGTTTGAACATATCTTTTGTGAGTTGAGGCACAGACACAAAGTGTCGGTCAACCAATTTGTAATGGTGAATGCCAAGCTTGTGTGGTTTCGATTTAAGTTTTTATTTCGCAAATCTGGACGTATCATTACGTGTTTTATAACTGAAACTTCTATATTAAAAAAGTATAAATCATTGCATTAATTGTAATGCTACATATCTTTGATTTTTATGTTTTCCAAGTGTAGGCCAAGTAAGACCCCTTTTTGGCCCCAAAATACAAAATTGTTAAAATGTAAAATTTTAGCTATTTATTGGAAAGAACAATACTTCTGTTACATAAATATGGGCTGTTTTTGACAATACAATGCACATGTATCGGGTACTAGCCTTATTAAGTCATGCTAAATTACTGAAATCTTCGAAATTTTAGCATTTTGGTTAATTTTAGACGGTTTCCGTCTGAAATGGAAGTGGCCGCATTTGTGTTCATTCTTAATATCTAAATATAGGTTGTATTTGATGATAATACATAACATATATAAAGGTTGAGAATGAACACGGATGCGGCCACTTTCATTTTTGACAAAAATCATCTGAAAAGTGACATATTATGGCATATTTGATAGATTTTTCATATTTAAGCTTGAATTTGGGCGTCTTTAATGACTAAATCAGTTCAAATCTTTCACATAAACTAATTGAATCGACTGAAGTAGACACTTAAGTGTTTAAAAAGTGTCCAAAATCTTTCATCAGATGAACCTGAATTTTGAGGCCAAAATCAGCCCTTACATTTTCTGGCGTCAAACATTGTTAAATTTGATAGATGCTTTTTGCACTTCTTTGTTAAATGTTTGTTTGTTTTGAGATTGTGACACAGTGATGACTGCTGTAGCCATATTTTGACAGTATTTCCTATTATGTCTGTTTTGTTTACGCATCGTTGTATAATGGAATTTGATGCGACTGTCATACAAGTGGGAGGTTTAGCGCTATAAAACCAAGTTCAATCCACCATTTTCTACATTTGAAAATGCCTGTACCAAGTCAGGAATATGACAGTTGTTGTCCATTCGTTTGATGTGTTTTATCATTTGATTAGGGACTTTCCGTTTTGAATTTTCCTTTGAGTTCAGTATTTTTGTGAATTAATTTTTTACCGGACCTACTCCTTTGAAGAAAAGATAAATTTTGCAACATCTTTTAAAAAATGTATTTAAATTTCATGTAAATCCATATATTTATGCTCGATATCATTCAATGAATTTTCTCCTACGTTCACATATGTTTTCATTAAACGAGGTCTTTAAGGTTACATATTTGTTTCCAATGCATAATTTTGCAAAAAACGATAAGTCCTTACAAATACGGTTATGTTTATAAACAATTTTTTATTGTAAATTATTTTGTAGGAACTGATTTAATGATAATGATGAATATCCTGTGTGCGTTCATTTTACTTATGTGTTCATGTTTTGTAAATATATCAGCTCAACTTCGTTGGCCACGTGAGTAGATATTTTGTTCCCTTTATATTCCGAATAGAAAGTTTCGCATGAGTAACTGAATAACACCAAATTTTTAAAAAATGTCTTTAAGTATGATCGGATATTGAAATATTATTCACGAAACAGAAAAGTGGCTTAATCATACCTTTTCGTTTCGTTGTGTTCAAGATGACAACTTACTATGAATGAAAGGTGCATGCCGCCGAGACATCAGCCAAACAATATCAAAGCCAGCAAAAACAGAAAAGAATAAACAATATTTGATAACATATTTAATTCATCAAAGAATGCTCGGCTAACAATCATAAAAAACAAGCCGCATGGTGAATACTTCATCTGCTAATACCAACCGCTTAAGTTCCGAGTACATATCACTAAACAACGTCATCAAAAGTGTAGGAAATAACGATTTTGAACAATGCTAAAGTAAATTCATGTGTAGAATTTCAATACAAAAACGAGATTAATCTTTGGAATATGAATCTATAAGTTTGAATCATAACTAACTAACAGAAAATGTATGTGCCTATTCTGTAAGTGCTTGTCCCAGGTAAGGAGCCTGTAACGTAGTACAGTGGTTGTCGTTGGTTCATGTCCGTCATATTTGTTTTTCGTACAGTGTTTTGTTCTTATTATCACTTGGTTTTAAGTGAACTATTTTCAATACTAATATAGAATACTTCTAAGATCCAATAAAGTCAGATTATACTTCATATATCTATTGTTATGCAGGTCCTTCAATACATGTTTATTCACTATAAGACAAAACGTATATCAGGCGAATAAATAAACTTTTAAGAAGGTCAAAACAAACAATGACCCGAACCAGAAAAAAAAAAAAAAAAAAAAAAAAATCGGCAGAGGTCATCTTTGAAAGAAAGCTAAGATTATTTATATCACTGAAGACAAAAATTGTTCTTACGCATATTGAAGGTTATTTAAAATACTGTAAAATAAAACGTGTATCTTATAAATCTTATTGACAAACCCGAATATAGGTTTTTTAAACTGATTTTTATAGTTTGTTCTTATGTTGTACTGTTACACCACTGTCCCAGGTTAGGGGAGAGTTGGGCGCTCACAAACATGTTTAACCCCACCACATTCGTTATGTGCCTGTCCCAAGTCAGGGGCCTGTAGTTCAGTGGTTGTCGTTGGTTCAATTTGTTTTTCGTAAATTGTTTTGTTATAAATTAGGGCGATAGTGTTCTCAATTGAATTGTTTCCTACTTTTTTATGTCGGGGCCTTTTATAGCCGACCATACGGTATGGGTTTTTCTCATTGTTGAAGGCCGTACGGTTGCATAAAATTGCTAACATCCACTTCATTTTTATAGTTATGAGTTTAATATATATTTAAGCTTCAGTACCAACATGTCCATCATCTGTGAACTTTGTATGCGGTGCAGATGGCAACTCATACCGTAATGCCTGCTTTGCTAGAAGAGCGTAAGTATAAATGTTTGTAAAAAACCGGTTGGCTAGTGACACACATCCATTGGATATACATCCTCTATTTTGTTTTTTTTCTCCATTTTTTGTTGTTTTCCCTGCTTCTTCATTTGAAATTAACCAGTTGTTCAACTTGAGTAACAAATAAGGATGGAGAGAAGAAAGCCAGTTGGTCTTCATTCATTTTTCTCCAAAAACTATACTCGATAAATGTTCTGCAATAAATCTAATAGCGTTTATTTTTCTGATTTATTGAAGTCCTATTTCAGTACGATGATTACCTTTAAAAAATGAAAACAACACGTTATAAATTGCATGCGTCCTGAGGGCTTTTAAGGATTTACCTTCATCAGGAACGCTCAAAGCCGAATATTTGAAAGCCAATGCTGTATAAGAACCGAAACAGTTGAAGATCTATATGACCGCAAAAGACGTACAAAAATAGCCAAATTCACATAAGGTCAACTTTTCCTTTAAGTTAGTCAATTAATTCGCTGTCAGGAACAGATACATGGCAACACAGAAAGAATATGCGTCGATTTTAGTTTGGAAAAGGAACAGCACTCCAGCAAAAGTAGGAAAGGATCATTTGGAATATTTCACAAGAAGAATAATTTTTATCAACACGTTATCATTGCGTTATTTCTAAATAATGCTTCAGAAATAATTTTATATATAAATGCACTTTATTTCAAATATATTTTTTATATTATTATGCTTTCTTCAAATGTATTGCAATATCATACGTATTCTTGTCTTTGTCTGTTTCACTTAGGATTATCTCCTGTCCTTGATATCCTTTTTAGGATCAATATAAAGAAGGAAATGTTGTATGATTGCAAATGAGACAACTATCCACAAAAACTCGAGGATGATGATAATGAATCATGTTTATCTACGAATCTACTACGTTATGCAAACCTGTTTAGGGATCCAATAATAGAACATGTAGGAAAGAACAGGTTAATTGCACGATGTGCGTTAATCATGTCTTATTTTTCAAGTATTATGGTAGTGTATAAATTATGGTAGACTTATGTAGTTTAAAGAGACTTAAACTGTGTACCTCAGACGTACGTTTTGACTACAAAAGACACACCTGTGACGATCGAATCGAAAGAGTTAAAAAGACCAAATAAAGTAAGAAGTTGAAGTGCATTGAGGACCTGAAATTCCGAGAGATTTAGCCAAATACAGCTAAGGTAATCCCTTCCTGGGGTAGAAAAATCCAGCTGTTCAAACCAGAGACTGAAATTGGTATTCGCTGCTTCAGTCGGTCAGACACAAGTCAGTTGCCAGCACCATTATGTAGATCTGTGATATGTCTTATGGTCTTACTGTCACTTGTAACTTGCCAGTTTCCAAACTAAAAATTCTACTTAACTTGTTGTTCTAGTATTCATATTTAATTACTATGGTATCATCCTTAGTATGAACGAACTATTTCCCGCTGTATGGAATTCAGTTATCTGTCAAACCCTCAATCAATTAATAAATGAATCAATCAATCAATGTTAGGGTACGAATGACACTTGAAACATCATAAGTCATGAGTATTTTCGCCGTTTTTCTTTTTGGTCAGGTATTGTCTGTTTTTCTTCGCTTAATGAATTTTGATTGGTATGAAAAGAATCGTTGAGAACCATATTTGACAAATAAACAAAATCGTATTCATTACACTTAAATGCAGTTGTTAGGTCCACTAATCTAACAAAAAAGAAAAATAGTAAATATTACCGCAAATACCATAAAATAATTTGTTTGTTATTTGTTTTTGTTATTCTTTTTCTGTTTTTTTTTTTTGGTAATGTAAATGTAAGACTGACATTTAAGAAAACTTGAGACCTCGTACGGAGCGCAACGTTCATCCGTATTTTTAAAAGGGATTCTGAATGATTAAGCTTTAGTTTTATAAATTTTTCTGCTTTTGTTTTGTATTTTGTAAAATTATATTTTGTAGTGTCTGTATTCTATCTATCAGTAGTTTTCTAGAAAACCTATGTTTTTTCTTCAGACTTTCACATTGTTTATATATAAGACTATTACGATTTATAATCCTTGATTGTTTATATATTTGGTGTTGTTTTAAGGTTACAGATAATACAAATTCAAATAAGCAATGGAATGGTGTCTTATTATCCTCGGCGCTTTTCAATTAGTGTCACTGATGGAGCAGGAACTGCTCACCCTTCAGGAGCTTCTGTGTTTGCAAATTTGAACTGAAGGAGTTCGTATTGCTATGCTCTGCAGTTTGTGTGTTATTTCGAGTCGTAACAATCTTGCTTATTCTTTGTCTTGTAAAAAAAAAACCGAGACTTTTATTTAATACATTTCAAACATTTGTTCATGTATTTAGGTTAGATGATTACAATTGTCAATGGTTTATTGATTTGGTAAATACTGGGATAGAAGAAAGACACATACTTATTTCTTATGCTGCAAAAATACTGCAATCTGATTGGTTAATTACACCGGTGTAAATAACACCCCACCCTTGTTCACCCCGGGATAAATAAAATTTGGCCAAAAATTGAAAAAAATAAAATTTGGCCAATATAAAGAAGGAAAAAAAAAAAAAAATATGTCCAAAAAAAAAAAAAAAAAATATTAAAAAAAAATTTGAGGACAAAAATTGAAAATTCAAAAGAACAACACAAAAATTTTCTGAATTTTCCCAAAAATAAAGAAAAAAGTATTTGATAATGCGCAGCAACATCGACGTTGAAATAATGTTACACTGGAAATTATTTATTACAATTTTTCAATTTTACATCCTGGTTTAAAAATGAGTAAAGGAATTGTTCATAAGAAATAAATCCGTTATCTTGGTGTAATCAGGGGTGTACGGAATTTTACACCTGTGTTGAAAATTCATACACCCATTCGGCTGCGCCGCAGGGTGTATGAATTTTCAACAACGGTGTAAAATTCTGTACACCCCTGATTACACCAAGATAACTAATATTATCCGCCTTACAAATATGACGTATACATGTATTTTAACGGGAATAACATAACTGATGTAAATTTAGTTAAGCTGATTATTTTAGAGCAACCAATTTTATCCCGGTTTGTGTTTTTTGTTTGTTGCCCAGTCATTCTTTTTCTCAGGAGTGTTTTATGGAATATTATATGACTGTTACCTTATATTCTATTTTGGCCATGGTGATGGTTATATACGATTTATTTTGATTGACCACTGACGTCTGATATCTTTTTGCTTTGCATTTATTCTTTAGTATTTCAAAAGACATTTTGAGGGATATGATGTTTATTTATGAGTTCCACTGTAACTTATGTAAAATATTATGAAGATGACACTTAAATCACGAAAAATCGTGTCGTTCCAAACATAAATAATACAATGTTCTCGATGATCCAGAGCGTATTACCACATAATATTTTATGCTTCAGAAAATGCCTGTACCATGCTGGTAAATGCAGATTTACCTTCATCAGGAACGCTCAAACCTAAATATTTGAAAACCAGGAATGAATATATATGTAGAAACGCTAAAAGCATCAAAATGGACATAAACAGAGTAGCATAATTCATCAAAGACATTTGCCCCAGGGAGTTGCAACAAGTTTCATTCTAGTTTCGAAATCTACCAACTCATAATTTTTAGATATAAATATAAATTTATACTTTTCAGAAACACAAGAATAGAGTGTAATAAGAAATGCCCCTGTAAATATTCATGTACATCAGTATGCTCAAATATTTACCAACCAGTATGCGATAGGGATGGAAAAACATTCTTTAACGAATGCTATGCAAGATGTGCGTAAGTATAAATCAATTTTGTAGATAAAAAGAAAGAAAATAGTATTTCATATTTAATTCCCATTCGGCCTGAATATGTATCAATATTTGCTACAGAACAAGAACTCAATTTTCAGTCAATCATTCCTTATGTATATTAATGTTCTGAACAAATTTGGCATACACTATAAATGCCGAGCGCATTTAGATCTATTACACATTTTGTATACTAATTGAAATATCAGGTTGCAGTACAAACCTCGTTCGTAAATCACATACTAAGCACCTATTTAAGATTATCAAATAGTGAATATACAAATGGCTTTCTTTTTATATTAACGAATACAAGTTTGACTATTTCAGATTTGCTATAGTAAAGTGTCAAAGTCGATGTCCTTGCGATACATCTTGCATATCCTTCTGTAAAGACACTTATAAACCAATTTGTGGAAGCGACGGAACGACCTACAACAACGAATGTTTGGCTAGATGTGCGTAAGTATATACAAAAGCCCTTATCTAAATGAAACATAAAATTTTTCCTTTTTTTGTTGAAGAATCGGTTTTTTTTCGATGATTAAGTTTCACGCAGTTCAGTTATATGTAATGCATTTTTCTTGTCGTATAACACAACAGGGATGTCAGACTTATTAATATGAAAGACCGACCGTAGGGAAACCTTTTTTTGACAGCCCTGACATGCCAAGGTGTGTTATACGACAAGACAAACCTCAAAAGATGCATTATCTTACTTATATACCGTCAACAAATATTTTTTTTCGAAAAACTTTGCAGGAAATTGTATCCGATTTTACCGATCACATTAAAGTGGGATGTTCTTTTCTTATGCGTATAGGTATAACGACGCACAACGGCTCAATTAATTTAGATATAAAAAAAAAAATAATGCCTGTAATTTCAAAAAAAATTAATTTGGAATATTAAATAAGAAAACTGAACTATTTATATTTTACCTCATGGATACGCAAAAGGACATCATATAGGGGGCTAATTTTCCTTCGGCAGTAGCTATTTTCGGTTTAAAGGATACACGATTTGGGCTTTTAACTTCTTTGATTCGAGCGTCACTGATGAGTTTTATAGACGAAATGCGAGTCTGGAGAACAAAATTTTAAGCCTGGTAGCTATGATGAGTTTATGGTTCTTATCTTTATTTTGTTTTGAATGTTGCTGTTATGATTTTATATGTTTTCACCTGTAATTACACTTAAATTGTTATATATTTTAGAGGTGTGACCATAAAATGTGAAAAACCCTGCCCATGTGAATTGTGCAAATGCCCTGAGCTACCATTTCCAGTGTGTGGTGCTGATAATATACAATATAAAAATATGTGCTTTGCTAAATGCGCGTAAGTATGAAAGCGTGATTGTACCACTTACAACCTGAAGCTTCGTCTTTGTAGTATATCAAATCTTCGTTTAATATAAACAACTTAGATTAACACACCAATTTTTAGGGTAAACAAATAAATACAAAATTATAAATTTAAGTATATTTGAAAAAAAAGTTTTTTAACATTTCAAACTTTACGTGGTTCAAGCAGAACTATTTTACTCTATATCGTTCTCTTATCATTTCTATTTGGTGTAAGATGCCTGATTATGTTTGAGGGTTGGTATGTTTACTCTTGGTGTCTTATTGTAACACTCACTGGTAGTTTGAATGTTTTGCTGATTGACTAGAACCCTTATTTTTAAAATCTGATAGCATTTAATGATAGGCATATGATAGTTCATTTGTAACTCATATTTTCTATTATTCACATTTACAGGTTTATACAAATAATTTAAGAAAGAGGCAGACGATACCGGAGGGACAATAATAAGTCAAGTTTTTTGTGAAAAAATCTATATATACTTTCGTATTTTCGTTCCAGAAATGTGGATGTGTCTTGTATTCCCAGTTGTCCATGTTGATGATGGTAGGGACAGGATGAAATTATATAATGAATTGATTTTTACACTCTATTGGTATTATGGTTAATAAAAGAGTGCTCTCCACGTAATGACATCTCTTTTCATTTTCATTTAAATTATAAAAGATAGGAAATCAGATAGATTTACCATAAGAAAGTTAACTGATATGTTGAATTTAAATGTCTTTAATCTTATAACAAGCATTTATATTTGCCCCGAAGACACAAATAAACGATGTCGCATGTGTTTTTATCTTGCTTTAAAAAACACTGTCAAGATTGTATGGTAACATGTTCAGAGATAATCAACATTCACACAATAAACCGGGTATATTATTTGGAAGTTGCAGAAGTCGATATTGAAAAAAAGATGTTAAGGACATTTACAGTAAATATGACGTATCTTATTCGAATGATCGAGTTATCAATTGGCAAAATATCTCTCTATCCAAAGCTATGTAAAGTACTTGGAACACATTAGGAACATCTAATGGTTGTTATTGGTCATACATTAATATTTTTGTCCAATAGGAAATATTCTGCAAATTCCCTGCATAACGATATAAAGAAAATGATTAAATAGGAACGTAATACTTTCTACATGATTATGTATTACTTATATGTAGAATGAGAAAACCAGCTCTATCATTTAGTAGTGTTGGTGTCCTCAGTAAATTAACTAAAATCTACTACGTTCCTATTGATAAAAAAGCAATGTTTTCATGTACGATTACATGAAGTCGATAGACAATGATGTCTTTATATGGATTCTGTGTACACCAAACTAAATATACTGAATGTAAATTGTATTATGAATATTTAAGAAAGAAATATCGATTGAGTAAACAGGATTATACTAATATAATGAATAAAGTAATATACCGATTTATTTGTCCAAAATTCGAGAACTTTATTTGTGATAAAATAAGCCTTTAAGTAGCCCTTTTAAGTAGAATTTAGACTACAAATATTCACCATACACATTATGCATGGGAATTTATACATGGATGGTAGCAGGACCATGTGCAGAAACTATTCGACAGTACGTGCAGGAAAATAGGAGAAAACACAAGAGCGCAGCTGAAAATCAAGTTAATAAATATGACTGCATGGCTGTGTCAATTTAAGGCGTCAGTAGTTTACCAATGTTCAAATCTCGAACATCGATAAGGAAGAGAAAATGTGAGGTAACAAAACAGACACTGAGGGAATTACACGAACTCAAAAAGGAGCAAGATGTTTGTATCACACTAAATCAAAAATGTAACAATCAGCAATAGGAAACAACCGGTAAAATAACAGATCAGACGATTTTACTGGTATATAAAGTTCTAAGAACGCAAACACATGTCGCTAGTGAGTTGAGAAATCGAAACACGTATCGGTCTACCAATTCGTGAAGGTGATCGTAAAACTTTGTCGTATCGATTTCAGTCTTTTTTCCTCATAACTCTGTTATAGCATTTTTCGTGTACGTGTAATATTGGTTTCAAATGAAAGTTATGAACTTCATAGCACTTTAAAACCTTTTTGAAAGTTTCATTTGAATGATAAAAAACATAGAATAAAGAAAGGCGGGCATATTTGACCTGTTGCTCAGTTCAGAAGATTTTATATTTCCAAACTTCCGGGAAACAGTGAGCTCAAATCAAATATGTAATTAAAGGTATGTTGATTTTTTAAACGCAAGACATGATCAGGTATACTTTTGATATAAAATAACTCACTTTATTTGAACTTAAGACTAAATAGCTATAAAAGCTTGAAACTGTAGAATTAACATATTAACAAGTTGGTTTTTTTAACTGAAAAACAAAAAACTTCAAAATGGTTAGAAATGAATAAAATTTTTGTGTCAATTGTAACGGAAAGTAGACAACAAATAAAGTTCCTAATTTCCGTGAAAAGCAACGACACCATGGCCAAAAAGAGAACCTTGAATAGACGAACAAAAATAACATTCAGATAACTAAAGCTTGAGCAACAATATCTTTAAAAACAAGGTGACTAACTCATGTTATCCGGAAGAGGCAGCAGTTCCTACCTCAACAGTATAAAGCCAATCGTGTTGCATTTATTGATTAATGCAACTGTCATCGAATATTATGAGTACATGATTGTGTTAATTCCAAATATCTAATTGCTTTTTTAAAATTTATTGTCTTTATGAACTGGGACAATTTAGAGCTATAGAGATATTGTATAGACAAGTGGATATTGTGGAAGATTGACTGTCCCCCATCTAGATGCCTTTCTGGTTATTTTGTCGTTTAGTTGCTGTCTCATTGACATTTTCCTTATAACATAAAAAATATCCAGTTCTAGTATGCTGCCTATTCAGTTGCCCTCATCTGGTTATGAAAATATATGGAATATGCAGCTTCTGCGATTTACATTGTCGTGCATGACTTCGTAAAATATATAAATGAACGATTTCAGCATGTTAGTATGACCAACTATTATATATGCCAACTCGGAATCAACTTCACAATAATAACATTTGTACATTGTTCTTCTTTCCAAAGCTGGATAGATAAAAAATAACAATTGTTGTTCGTTTTCTGTAAAAAAAAAAAGCACACAACTACACACTTAATATATATGTAAACAGTATAATATAAACACGTGAACGACAACTTGTGGAGGAAATGTGAATACACAGCATTATTAAAGTAACTTTTATGTATGTGTTTATGTTTTGTTGTTGTCTTTGAAAGGTCCTTATTTGAACTTTTAAAAAAAAATTTTGTAACGTAAATGCATCAATATATAATTAGTTATCAAAGGTACCAGGCTTATAAGTTGAAACGCCAGACGCGCGTTTCGTCTACATAAGACTTATCAGTGACGCTCAGATCAAAATAGTTAGAAAGCTAAAACAAGTACAAAATTGAAGAGCATTGAGGACCCAAAATTCCAAAAAGTTGTGCCCAATACGGCTAAGGTAATCTATGCCTGGGATAAGAAAATCCTTAGTATTTCGAATAATTCATACTTTTGCAAACAGCGAATTTATAAAAATGACCATATCATTGATATTCATGTCAACACCGAAGTGCTGACTACTGGGCTGGTGATACCCTCGGGGACGAAACGTCCAACCAGCAGTGGCATCGACCCAGTGGTGTAAATAGTTATCAAAGGTACCAGGCTTATTAGTTGATACGCCAGACGCCCGTTTTGTCTACATAAGACTCATCAGTGACGCTCAGATCAAAATAGTTAGAAAGCCAAAACAAGTACAAAGTTGAAGAGCATTGAGGACCCAAAATTCCAAAAAGTTGTGCCAAATACGGCTAAGGTAATCTATGCCTGGGATAAGAAAATCCTTAGTATTTCGAATAATTCCAACTTTTGCAAACAGTGAGTTTATAAAAATGACCATATCATTGACATTCATGTCAACACCGATGTGCTGACTACTGGGCTGGTGATACCCTCGGGGACGAAACGTCCACCAGCATTGGCATCGACCCAGTGGTGTAAATAGTTATCAAAGGTACCAGGCTTATAATTTGATAAGCCAGACGCGCGTTTCGTTATAACATTTTAATCTGATGAAATTTTGTTTAGTCACTCGATAAAACCTGGACCCTTCTCGAAAAAATCCATACTGTTCTCATAAAAAGACGGACATACAAAAAATAATTTAATCTCACAATGACCTTATCTGTCTAATTACAACATGTTTCCAGAAAGTGTCTTTGAATGTAATGATACATGGATTTTATGACAGTATTTATAAGAAAAAATGCAAATCGAAAAGTAGACACTGATTTTTTGGGCAAAATCATGTTTCCGTTTCTTAAATTCATCGTCAGATTAGGTAAAAACATAAAAAAATGTTTGAACGAATTTTAATTTTAATCGACACAAATGCCAAAGTTAAATGTAAATAATTTATATCATAACAGTTGAGCGTATTACATGTTATTACGTGTGTCAACATTTTGAAATTAAGTTGCTTCTTCTAAGTCACGTCAAGTCGTTCTTTGTCATGAATAAATACTACCATTTGTACAGTTTAATTGATTTTAGTTCTCTGTGTTCATATATGTGTTCCATACACAGGGGCTGACCATCACAGATCACACTTTAACGTTTTAAGGGCTCCCATTTACATGCAATATTGTTTTTGAGTAAGTTGAAAGATAATTTATTCTCAACTACGACGAATTTCACAAAATATGTCTGAATGAAGTTTGTTTTTATTTAGATAAGTAAATTTAAATACTTTTCGTTCACTGGTGATAAAACTAGTTTCGTTTATAATAGACGATTGTCTGGGTATACCTATTTAAAGTTTAAACCACACATTGGTTGAAAATCGGAACTTAATGTAATACATCATTGAAATTCAGACAAGATTTAGTCAAGCATGAAAACAGTCTGACTAATTAATTGTGAAATGTCCTTTAAGTAAACCAAAACCACGTTGCTTTCTTTTAGAAATTCATAAGACAGATTTTAATGAATCACACGTAAAATGTGTACTGTAGTCCCTAGTAACCCTTTATGTGACCGTATACTAGTAGTTGTGGCATCAAGCGGCAAATTAAATGCATCGGACTCGGACTACTTTTAGACTGAGTTTTACTGTGTGTTGTTTATTCCACATTAGCTAGAGGTATAAGGGGAGGGCTGAGATCTCACAAACCATGTTTAACCCCTATGAGCCTGTATAAGGACAGGAATCTCTAGCCTTCGTTAGTCTTGTGTGTTATTTTCATTGTGGTTCATTTGTATGTTTCGGAGTTAAGTGTGGCGTCCATTTCTATGACCTAGTATACATTATTGTTTAGGTGCCAGCTGAGGCCCTCCTACGGTTGCGGGATTTTTTTTTGCTGTGTTTAAGACCCATTGGTGGCTTTTGGCTGTTTCTGCTCTTTCGTCTATTTGACACATTCCCGTTTCCTTTTTCTCTATTTAGGACTAGGACATGTCATTGTAACATGAATACTAGATAGACACGCTGAGCCGGATTTTAAAGTGCTAATTCACGTCCGCTAGGAGACATTTTACCCTTCCCGTACACATTATTCTGAAGAAAAACAAAGCCGACCAGTCTTTG